CTCCCCCAATACCACCATGGCAGGGAGAAGTAGTTCTTAGAGGATGGGGCTGAGGTTTCTTAAGCTCAGTTTTCCATCAGTTCAGCAGAGATCAAATGAGAGTCAACAGCCTCGGTGCTGAAGATGAAAGAGGAAAAGACATCATTTGTTGCTAGATGTTTTTATCTATAGTTTAGTTAGAAGTGAAATAAGGCAAGAAATAAAGGGTCTCCTGCAGATGGTTTTCACAAACAAGGTATGCAAAGGTACACATCCAAAAGAAATGTGGAGGTGGGGAAGAGAACATCACCTGGTAATTGTTTTCTGAAGCTTATTTGTGAAACACATCACAGTGACAGTGGCTATATCAAAGATATACTGTAGTATATGATGTTCAGATGTTCAGCCAGGAAGCGTTCTTAGGAAGATCTTTGGTCAGGACCTGTATTGTTATAAGAAGAAAGTAGAGAATATTTTATTTCAAATTGGTCCAGTCTTTAGAAATAGGAATACTTATATATGTGAATTATAACTCAGTAAAAAAGACATAAGAAAGTATTCAGAATAAAGATTTATTATTAACCAATCTGCCCCCCCCCCCCCAGCAGAGAAATAGGAGTACTCTATGATTAACAGTATGTCATGTTTATTTCTGTGTTAGTCAGCTTATTGCTATAACATTGAATGAAATGTCTGGAATCCGAAGTTACTACTTTGAAATCTTTCAATAAATGAGGATGAGGTATGCTTCATAGTTAATCTGATGACTAGTGATCATACAGGATCAAGTGGCTGTTCAGGATAAGAGAAAGATCAGAAAACACACTTCAGAGAAAGCACCAAAAATAAATCAGAGTAACAAAGCAGAGTTCAGTTGTGAAAGGGGTACGTTTTAGGAAAAGGAGAACTGTGTGTGTGTGTGTGTGAGAGAGAGAGAGAAAGAGAGAGAGAGAGAAGGAGAGAGAGGGAGAGAGAGTGGGAGAGAGAGAGAGAAATAGATTTCCTACTGAATTGCAGCTTCAGCTGTTCCTTGGACTTGCTTCCTGCTCTGGGACTTCTTTGCATTAGAAATTTAGAGGACGTCTTATTTTTTGACACATTTCTTTGAGGACAGTAAAGGAAGACATGAGGTTGAGTCCCTGAGGACCTTATTTTTGAGAGGAACACTGTAATAGCCTCTGGCATTTAGCACAAAATAGAATTGTGCTTTTTGAATGAGAGAACCAAGGTTTTAAGTGTTCTCAAGGCCTTCCTTTTGAGAAAATTAGCCTCTTCCCCTCTCTGTGTGTCATAAAACCTTTTCAGGAACAAAAAAAAGGACAATTGTTCAATCACTGAAAAGTTTACCTACAGGGTTTTAAAAAATGAAATTATCTATGTTTTTATTGATCCACTTATAGTGACTCTTTCATCAGTAGGTTCTTTTTAAATTGATAAGGGTGACATTGGTTAACATCATTATGTAAGTTTCAGTTGTACATTTCTATAATGCACCATCTGTATATTACATTGTGTGCTCACCACCCAAAGTTTTGTCTCCTTCTGTCACCACATTTGACCCCCTTTACCCTCTTCAATCTCCTACTACTCCACTCCTCCCCCGGTAACCACCATACTGTTGTCTGTGTCAGTTTGTTTGTTTGTTTTGTTTGTTCTTCTGTTGCTTTCTGTTTTATATCCCACATATGAGTGAAATCATATGGTTCTTGTCCTTTTCCTACTGACTTATTTCCCTTAGCATGATAACTCTCAAAATCCACCCATGTTGTCGCAAATGGCAGTATTTCATCCTTTCTTATAGCTGAGTTGTATTCCATTATATATATCTTTACCCAATCATCCTTCAAAAGACACTTAGGATGTTTCCATGTCTTAGCTACCATGAATACTACAGTAGTGAACTAGGGGTACATGTATCTGAGTGGATAAATGTTTTCAAAATTTTTAATATTATACCCAGAAGATGAGTTGCTGGGTCATATTGGAAGTTCCATTATTCATTTTTGGAGGAACCTTCATACTCTTTTCTGTAGTGGCTGTAACAGTTTATGTTCCCACCAGCAACATGTGAGGGTTCCTTTTTCTCAACATCATCTCAACGCTTATTTCTTGTCTTATTGATAATAGCCATTCTAACAGGTATGAGGTGATACCTCACCGTGGTTTTGATTTACTTTTTTTTTTATATAGCTAGAGAAGTTGAACATCTTTTCATATATCTGTTGGGCATTTGTATTATCTTCTTGGGGAAAGTGTCTGTTTTAGATTCTCTGCCCATTTTTAAAATTAGATTGTTCATTTTTTTGTTGTTGAGTTGTATGAGTTCTTTATATAATTTGAATATTAGCTAGCCCCTAATAGGAGGTATTATATGCAAATATTTTCTCCCTTTCGGTTGTTTGCCTTTTTGTTTTGTTGATGATTTTGTTTGTTTTGTTGGTTTCTTTTTCTTGCAAAAGATTTTTTAAAAATTATGTTTTTATAGATTTTATAGAAGGGAGAGAGAGAGAGAGAGAGAAATATTGATGAGAGAGAATCATCAGTTGGCTGCCTCATGCCCTCTACCCAGGATTGAACCTGCAACTCAAAATGTGCCCTGACCAGGAATCGAACCAGTGACTGACCTCTTAGTTCATGGGAAGATGGTGAACCAACTGAGCCACAACGGCCAGGGTGCAGACATTTTTTAGTTTGATATTTTTTTTTACTTATACTTTCTTACCTTTGGTGTCACATTTATGTAATCCTCTCTGAGACCAAGGTACATAAGATTAGTACTTATGTTTTCTTCTGTGTATTTTATTGTTTCAGGTCTTTTATTTAGGTCTTTGATCCATTTTGAGTTCATTTTTTGTGTTTGGTATCAAATAGCAGTCTAGTTTCATTTCTTGTGAATGGGGCTTTCTGATTTTCCCAACACCATTTATTAAAGAGGCTTTCTTTTCTCCATTGTATGTTTTTAGCTTTATAAAAAATTAGTTGCCCACAAATATGGGTATATTTTTGGGCCCTAGGCTGTGTTTCATTGGTCTATATATCTGTTTCTCTCTTCTCTACCAATATGATACTGTTTTGATTATTACAACTTTATAGTATAATTTGAAGTCAGAGAATCTGATGCCTCCAGCTTTGTTGCCCCCCCCCCCCCCCATCGCTTTGGCTATTCACTGTCTTTTGTGGTTTCATACAAATGTGATGATTTTTTTGTTGTGTAAATTAAAAAGAAATGGGATTTTATAGGGCATGCTTAAATCTGTAGATGGTTTTAGGTAATATGACCATCTAAAACAGTGTTAATCTTCCAGTCCATGAGCACAGAATGTATTTCCATTTCTTTGTGTTTTCTTCTATTTTTTTTTTTTTTTCAACAATGTCTTTTTTGTTGTTCAGTGTACAGGTCTTTTATTTGTTTAGTTTATTCCTGGACATTTTATCCTTTTTGTTACAAGTGTAAATGGGATTGTTTTCGTTACTTCTCTTTCTGTTATTTGTTGTTAGCATATAGGAACACAATGGATTTTGTATGTTGATTTTGTATCCTGTAACTTTACAGTGTTTGTTTACTGTTTCTTGTAGTCTTTTGGTGGAGAAACATTTCTTCATGTTTTCTGTATTAAGAATCATGTCATCGACAGAAGTTGACAATTTTACTTCTTTATTCACAATTTGGATGCCTTTTATTTCTCTTGTCTAAATGTTCTGGCTAGGACTTGCAGTACTATGTTGAACAACAGTGATAATAGTGGGCATCCTTGTCTTTTTCCTGATCTCGGAGGAAAAGCTTTAATTTTTTTGCTGTTGAGTAAATTAGCTGAGGGTTTGTGATGTATAGCTTTTATTGTATTGAGGTACTTTATCTTTTATACCTATTTTATCGAATATTTTCATCATAAATAGATGTAACTTTTCAAGTGTTCTTTTGCATTTTTTGATATGATCATATGATTTTTAAAAATCTTTTATTTTGTTAATGTGATATATCACATTGATCGTTTTGCATATGTTGGACCATTCTTATACCTCTGGATGAACCACAATTAATTGTGATGAGTTTTCTTTTTATTGTATTGTTGTATTTGAATGATATATGCATCAGAGATAATTGGTCTATAATTTTCTTTTTTTGAGTTGTCCTTGCCAGGTTTTGGTACAGGGTAATCTTGGCCTCATAAAACAAGTTAGAAATATTGCCTATTGCCTCTCTTTAATGATTTGGAAGAGTTTGAGAAGGATAGGTATTAAATCTTCTTTGAATGTTTGGTAGAATTCACTAGTAAAACTATATGGTCTTGGACTTTTCATTTTGGGATGCTTTGATGACTGTTTCAGTTTCTTTACTGTTGATCAGTCTGTTTAGATTTTTCAGTTCTTCATGGTTCAGTCTAGGAAGATTATGTATTTCTAAGAACTTGTCCATTTCTTTTAGGTTATCAAATTTGGTGGCATATTGCCTTTCATAGTATTCTTGTTTAGTCCTTTTCATTTCTATGGTGTCTGTTGTAACTTCTCTCTTTCATTTCTGATTTTGTTTATTTAAGTCTTTTTTTCCCCCTTAGTCCATCCAGAGTTTTTCAATTTTATTAATATTTGCAAAGAAACAGCTTGAGAAATGAAGGAGGAAGTGAGTGGCCTAGATTAGGCTTTTCTTTATGTAGATATATTGAGTTCATTGACTTAGACCTACATGAAAGAATGCAGAGCTAAGCAAATTAAGGAACGTAATACATTCTGTGTTTCAAATAATTAGCTAATAAAGTTAGTTTTGCCTGCTTGTAGTGATGTAGTTTAATTAGTACTAAAACCGAGAATGAGATTGCTGACTGATTTTCCTGTTTCAGTAATTCTAGATTTTCTTTTCCCTTGGGCCCTTGTTTTTATTATCTGGCTGTTATAAAAAATAAATTGCTCTCTAAAATCAAGGAACCATTAAGAAAAATATAAAAATTTTAATTAAGAAAAATAAAAGTATTATCCTCTATCTGTGCCTTATTTATCTTGACTGTTTTCACCGTGTTCTCCAGGAGTACCAGGTGTCAAAGAAGAACGTTTTAAAGAAGGAATGAAGGTGAAACACTGTGCATTGTCCCTTGTGGGAGAACCTATCATGTACCCAGAAATCAACAGATTTTTGAAGCTACTCCATGAGTGCAAAATCTCCAGTTTCCTGGTCACAAATGCACAGTTCCCTGTGGAAATCAGGTAAGTGGTCTAGCTTATTAAGATATGCTGCTCGAATCTGTAGACAGACACTTAGGTTGTTTCCACGTCTTGGCTATTGTGGATAATGGTGCTTTGGAGCATTGGGGTGCATATATCTCTTCAAAATACTGATTTCATTTCTTTTGGATATTCAAAAGTGGGATTGCTGGATCATATGGTAGTTCTATTTTTAATTTTTTGAGGATCTTACATATTTTGGATACTGATTTGCAAATATTTTTTTCCATTCTGTTTCCTTTTCATTTTTTTGATCATTTCTTTTGCTGTGAAGAAGCTTTTTAGTTTTATATAGTTCCACGGTTTATTTTTGCTTTTGTTGCTTAGTCTCATATCCAAAATATTGTTGCCAAGATAAAATGTCAAGGATCTTTTCTCTATGTTTTTTTTTTTTTTTTTTTACCCTCACCTGAGGACATTTTTCTATTTTTTTTGTTCAGGTAGAGTGGGAGGGAGAGAGAGGAACATCGATATGAAAGGAACACATTGAGTGGCTGCCACCCACATGACCGACCAGGGCCGGGGACAAACTGCAACCGAGGTACATGCCCTTAGTGGGAACCGAACCCGGGTCTCTCCGGACTGCAGGCCGACGCTCTAACCGCTGAGCCAAACCGGCCAGGGCTTCTCTATGTTTTTATCTAGGACTTTTACAGTTTCAGGTATTATATTTAAGATTTTAATTCATTTTGAGTTCATTTTTTGTGAGTGGTGTAATATAGGGGTCCAAATTCATTTTTTTTAATGTGAATATTCAGTTGTCCCAGTGTTATTTATAGAAGAGACTATCCTTTCCAAATTGAGAATTCTTGGCTCCCTTGTCAAATGTGAGTTGACCATATATTGTGTGGGTTTATTTTTTGGACTCTTGATTCTGTTCCATTGGCATGTGTGAGTTTTTTGTTTTTTAATGCTGGTATATTACTATTTTGAATACTATACCTTTGTAGTGTAGTTTGAAGTCAGGAAGTATAATGCCTCCAGCTTTGTTCTTTCTTAGAATTGCTTTGGCTGTTCAGCATCTTTATTTATTTATTTATTTTAATCCTCACCCGAGGACATTTTTGCATTTATCCTGAAATAGAGCAGGAGGGAGAGAGGGAGGAAGAGAGAGAGGGAAATATCGATTTGAGAGAGACACACCAGTGGTCGCCACGCACATGACTCCAACCGGGGCTGGGGACAAACTGCAACCGAGGTACGTGCCCTTTGCGGGAACTGAACCTGGGACTCTGTTTCACGGGCTGATGCTCTCTAATCGCTGTGCCAAACTGGCCGGGGCTATTCAGTATCTTTAAAACAAATTTTTTTTTCTTTATTGATTTTAGAGAGAGAGGAAGTGAGAGGGAGAGAGATAGAAAGAAACATCAGTGAGAGAGAACATCGATTGGCCGCCTCCTGCGTGCCCCCCATGGGCCATGTGTCCTGACTGGGAATTGAACTGATGACCTTTTGGTGCATGGATCGACACTCAACCACTGAGCCACACTGGCCGTACTACTTAGCATCTTTTATAGTTCCATATAAATTTTAAGATTATTTTAAAAAATTTTCTGTAAAAGGTGCCATTGGAATTTTGATAGGGCTTACATTGAATCTATAGATGGCTTTGGGTATTACAGAAATTATAACAATATTAATTTTTTTGCTATGTGAACATGGGATATCTTTCCATCTATCTGTGTCTTCAGTTTCTTTCATCAATGTTGAGAAGTTCTTGAAACCAATACAATGATACACTTTCCAAGGCCCCATCCCCGGAGGCTGATACAGCCTTGGGAGAGTCCCAAGAACTTGTATTTCCATGTACCTCTGATGCGGATGGTCCTGACCACACTTAGAAAAATACTGCTGTGAAGCTTGAAATCCTGCTCTTGGCTTTCTGTGATGAGAGGTAGCTGGTCATTTGGAGGGAAGCATTGTGGCACAGGACTAGAACAGGCTCTGGAGTCACTTCTTAGCTCGAATCTCGTTGAGATTATTAAATATTAGAGTATCCACATATTTTTTGTGGATCCTTGAGCAGGCTCCTTAACCTCTTTGAACCTTAGTTTCATCTTCTCTAAAATGGACATAAGTAACAACTACTTTGTTTTATTATGAGGATTCAGTGAACTGAATGAATAAGAAAGGTCAAACGTAGCACATTGCACTCAGTACATGCTAAGTACTCAGTAAATCTTCTCCGTCTCTCTTCTTCCTAAATCATTTGGCCTAATGTGACAGCCCCAGATTGTCTTAAGAGATTCTATTTTTTGTTATTTAATCCTCACCCAAGAATATTTTTCCATTGATTTTTAGATAGAGTGGGAGGAAGGGAGGGAGGGAGGGGGAGAGAGAGAGAGAAAGAGAAAGAAACATTGATGTGAGAGAGACACATTGATTGGTTGCTTCCCACACAAACCAGACAGGGGCTGGGGATCGCACCGGAAACTGAGGTATGTGCCCTTGACCAGGAATTGAACCTGTGACTCTTTGCTCCTTGGGCCAACACTCTAACTGCTGAGCCAAACCAGCCAGGGTAAGAGAGTCTGCTTTTAATAGTATTGGAAGTTTGGATCACTTAGGGTATTTATTTTTGTCCAATAGGATCATCAGACTTACTATTTAATCCACTAGATTTTTTACAAACATAAATCCCTCTCCCCCTTTTTTTTTCTTTCTGTAGAGGTTAGTCTACATCTCTATAGAAAGGGAAAAAGTGTCTACATCTCTATAGAAAGGGAAAAAGTGAGAGGGATTTTTATGTTCAATTACAATGCATTTCTATATATGATCATTCTCAACTCAGATTTAAAATTAGCAGAATGAAGGGTCATCACAATAATCATATCACAATTCATGGGACATTTCCATTGGGTATTTGGCTTAGGGTTGTATATCCCTTTATGGTATAATACTTTGTATTTGTTCTCAGCAGCAATGTGAGGTTCTCAGGCTCAGGAATTGCTGTGATGATTTTAAGGATAAAACATTCTCTTGTTTTGGGGGAACTATAATGATGCTCTCTCTGTATAGAATAGACAAATGACTGTGCTGGGAGCCTAATTGCCTGTCCTGGGAAATAGAGGCCTGTACCAGGCAGATATTAGATCCCTGAGCTCAGAAAAATTTTCCAAGGTTCTTGTACTGCTATATTTTTGTTGTTGTTAATCCTCACCTGAGGATATTTTTCCATAGATTTTTAGATATAATGGAAGAGAAGGAGGGAGGGAGAGAGAGAGAGAGAGAAACATCGATGTGAGAGAGACACATCAATTATTTGCCTTCCACATGACCCTGACTGGGGCCTGGGATTGAACCTACAACCCAGGTATGTGCTCTGGATCAGGAATTGAACCCACGACCCCTGGGTCCATGGGCTGATGCTCTAAACCCTGAGCCAATCTGTCCAGGGCTATTACTGCTTTTGAATGAGCTCTATAATTCCCAGGCAATTTTTCTCTTCTCCATTCTTTCTTTGCTCCCTGGCAAAGAGATCTGTAGACTTCCTTAATCATAGCACCTCAGACATTTAGTATTGACAGAATTCCTTACTGGTACTGTCAGTGTCCATGGCTTCCTTTTTTTGCAAATGATGGAGGTTTGTAAAATAACCATGGCCTTTGGAATTTACTGTTCATAATCTTAGGTAGTTATGGAGGCCTAGTGAAAAGGTCAGGCCAGTTCCCACTTTGCATCAGGCAGCTTTATAACAAAGTCCTGTAAGTATTAGATGATGTAGCCAGCAGCATCCATTAAGACAATATTTTTTATTTTTATTTTTTGTGAAATATAAAGTCCTGTTAAGGTAGCATTGCTTATTTGTTGTTAAAGAGGCACCCAGCAAAATAGTGATGAGACAGAATGCTGCCATTACAGTATGCTGCTGTTTTGCATTTTTAGTCATTGATGCCCCTCGCTAAGTAGTGACACATTACTGAACTTTAAGGCTTCCCTTTGTATCTCATTGCTGAAGAGGGTTTAAAGCAATGAGAGTCTGCCAATATTTTAATCACTTCTTTGTTAACTTTGGTCAGGGCTTCTCCATTTTTAATAAGACCCTTCTGATTTTTCCATGTCACAAAGCCAGATCATTACAGTCATTTGTTTGGCCTACATGCCTTAAAAAGTTCTGTCAGCTGAAGCCAACATGATCAACTAAAAGTAGATTTCAGTGTCTGTCTTTATGGCTGGATAAAAAGAAACATATGGTTCCTGTCCTTCAAGGTCTTATACTCAGAGATTGATAAGACTGATACTGATAGATATAAAAAGCACGTAAACCATTTTGATGGTGTATTTTATGGCATGTGAATTATATCTCAATTTTAAAAGATGTATAGACTTTGAAACAAAAAATGCATAAATAACATTCTAGGGTAAATACAAATTGTGGAATGGTTATAGAAAATTAATAGTGGACAGGATAGGGGATTGGAATGGGAGGAAAGTGTCAATGGGGGAAAAAGGAGAATCATCTGTAACAAAAATAAATTAATAAAATAAAAAAAGAAAATTAATAGTGGAAGGATTTGGTCAGAGGATTGTTAAAGGGGCGTTTCCTTCTTTCTTTGTCTAAACTTATTGAAGAGAATGAATTATGAGACCCATTTGAAGGGAGAACAGAGAGGCTTTGGAAAAAGTACAACCGGGGCTTAAAACAAAACTGGCAAGAAATCTCGTAGATAAGAATGACGTTATGAAATGAATGAGTCAGTGAATTGGAGAGAAGTAGAAAATGAACGGTCTTCATGGAGACTGATTAGGAAGGCAAAGAAAATTAAGAATCTGCAACATACAGTTTTCTTCTGGGTTGTGGTCCTTTGTACATGCTGGGTTGCTGTTCCAGCTCTGCATTGCTTCAAGCTGGCTGAATAGGGCTTCGCCCGTGCAGCTTGGCCTCGAACCCACTGCTGCTCTCAGAGGCGTGGGTGAGGCACGTGTGGCTTCTTGTCCTTCAAAGAAGGCTTGTGCTTTTGGGGTTGTTTCTTGTTCCTTAGAAAACTTCCATGAGTGAATTGATGATGGAAGGCGGCCCTTCGGCACAGACCCCACCTGGTTGTGGGATTTCAGCTGTATAAGTCTGGAGTAGCAGCATTTATGGGGAAACTTAGGTTTGAGAGCCCCTCTAATTGTGCTGGGCTGATGGTGCCAGACCTAAAGTCAGATCTTGTTTGTTTATTTTCCACCGAAACCTAGTGTTTGAAGAGGGACCAATTTTAAGTAATTGAATGTTTTCAGTTTATTAGGGATGGTGTCCAGTCATTTAAAAAAATAATCCACTGACATCCCATTCTGTCACATGATTGAAATCGTTTCAGTCTTCAGGGAAAAGTGGAAGCCTCTAGGCCCAGTGAAATGTTTACTATCCACATCTATTACAGACTGTAAGTTTTACATAATAGGCATAATATTATTTTTTACTGTCATGGTTATTGTTTGTTTGTTTAAAATATTTATTTTTATTTGTCAGTTAGTTGACATACAATATGATATTAGTTTCAGGTATACAACACAGGGATTAGACATTTATATGCCTTATGAGGAGATGGTTATTGTTTTTAATTTTAAATTACCAAGGAACCTCAAACCGGTTACCCAGCTATACGTCAGTGTGGATGCTAGCACCAAAGATAGCCTGAAAAAAATTGACCGACCACTCTTCAAGGACTTCTGGCAAAGATTCCTCGACAGTTTAAAAGCCTTGGCAGCAAAGGTAAGAATTATGACATCTTTAAAAGAAAAGAAAATGAAGTAGAGAGGTTTTTATTTCCTTTTGTTTAAAAAAGAAGACTGAAACCTTCAACTTTTATTGTTTAACACATATTTATTGAGTTCTTAAGTTTGTAGCTCTCTACCATATATATATTGGGAAGAAAGTAACAGTTCATAGCAACCCTAGAGGAGGTGTCAGCATATAGTATATATTTAAATATGAAATTAATTTTCCTGAATTTCTATAACCAAGTTTCCTACCTGATAAGGAACTCAACCTCTGAGTGTCCAAATTTGATGTCTTCTCCTGCAGACATCTGGCCCTTCTTACGTGTTCTCTTATGGCATACTTACTTTCCTATTTGTTTAGAGCTGAAGTTACCTGGTGGTTCTTCTCCGTTAACCTCACATCTCAATAGTTGGTATTTTTTGTTAGTTCTACATCTCTTCTTTTCTGTTCTCTTTGGTTTTGCCCTGCAGTTCTTCATGCTGTACCCAAATATGACTGAAACTGAGAATCACTACAGGAGCTTAAAAAATTAAAACTTTCTATTTCTTCTAGGATTTGAGAATCTGCAATTTAAACAACCCAGGTCACTTCATATGCAGCCAGTTATGGAGTCACTGACCCAGAAAACCTTCCTTTCTTTCCTTTGCCCAGCAGTTAACTTTGGCATTTCTTTTTTTTTTTTATCCTCAACCAAGGACATTTTAAAATTTTTTGTTCAGATAGAGTGGGAGGGGGGGAGAGAGAGAGAGAGAGAGAAACATCGACGTGAAAGGGACACATCGAGTAGTTGCCACCCGCACAACCCAACCAGGGCTGGGGACAAACTGCAACCGAGGTACGTGCCCTTAGCGGGAACCAAACCCGGGTCTCTCTGGACCGCAGGCCGACGCTCTAACCGCTGAGCCAAACCGGTCAGGGCAACTTTGGCATTTCTAGCCCCTGGCCCCAGTGTACATTTTCAGAGTCACTGTTCATGATATTCCTCCTGGAATACTGTACTTCCCTGTTTATGTTGCCATTTCTGCAAATGTGCCCAGCAGTCTTTATTACCTCTTCAGAGCCTAGAATGTCCTTTCTTTTCAATTCTTCGACTTGTAGAAATTCTTTGCAACCTTCAAGGCTTAGCTTCATTACTACCTCTACCATGAAGCCTTTTCCAGTTGCAGTTGGCTGCTCCTTTCTCTCTTCCTGAGTTTTATATCTGTAAAACACTGTGTTTCTTCTGTTTTATTCTGTCTTCTGTCCCCAGCTGGATTTGTTCTTCACACCTGAGTTCCGCTTGATGTCTAGCATAGCACATTTTATGGTATTTGATAAATGTTTTTTTTTTTAACGAATGTATTTGTGGGAACTCACCAAGCTGATTAAATTTTTTTCCTATTTTATGCTGGAGAACTTAAATCAGTGCCCTTTTTGGCAGTTAATACTGACATTATTTAAGAAATGCAAAATTGTCATTACTTTGGTTTCTGATCTGTCTTAGGTTATTTATAAGGCTAGTAGGTTCAGTGCTTCTTGGGTTCCTAAAATCTCTTTGTCTTTGGACTTCACCTTCAGCCATATTCTTTTCACTTGTTGCTGAGACAAGTAGGAGAGATTTTTACATGGCGTAAAAATCAGAGTGGATTTAGATGGGAGTAAACAGCAGGAGCTGGCAATATCAGACTCATCTGAGCCTGTTATCTGATGTATTCTGAGTCAGTGTGGAAGATGAGAAGTAGGCATTAGCAGAGTGGCTTAATAGCTTGCTTTTTCTCTTTTGGCCAAATTTTCCACAAAGTGAATTTGTGTCTTGAAGTTACACGCCTTTGCATGTCCAATTCAATTATGTAAGCACTCTGGCTTGACTCACTGATAGTAATGCAGTAATTTGAGGTTCTACAGTATTTCCTAACCTATGAACTTCTTTTTTTTTTTTTATCCTCACCCGAGGACATTTTTCCATATTTTGTTCAGATAGAGTGGGAGAGAGAAAGAGAGAGACATTGACGTGAAAGGGACACATCGAGTGGTTGCTACCTGCACAACTCAACCAGGGTCGGGGACAAACTGCAACCGAGGTACATGCTCTTAGCAGGAACCAAACCCAGGTCTCTATGGACCATAGGCCGATGCTCTAACCGCTGAGCCAAACTGGCCAGGGCTTGTGAGCTTCTTACATATTAATATTATTGTTTCTGTGTAACCTGGGCTATTTAAACTTTCTGCCTGAGATTAGGGCAAGTGCTTTGTAAGCATTTTGTAGCAATTAGAGTTTATGTTTCTCATTCTTTTTTTTTTTTTTTATCCTCACCTGAGGACATTTTTCCATCTTTTGTACAGATAGAGTGGGAGGGAGAGAGAGGAAGATAGAGAGAGAGAGACATCGACGTGAAAGGGACACATCGAGTGGTTGCCACGTGCACGACCCACCAGGGCCGGGGACAAACTGCAACCGAGGTACGTGCCCTTAGCGGGAACCGAACCCGGGTCTCTCCGGACCACAGGCTGACGCTCTAACCGCTGAGCCAAACTGGCCAGGGCTATGTTTCTCATTCTTGTATTGTTTATGTTGTCATTTAAGAAAGATTTGTGGCAGGAAGTTGCTCTTTAAATAAAAAATTTTCTTGAAATTAACTCAAACTATGTTATTTCCTTTTGAATATTTGATATTATTGGTATAGAAAGAAGATACTACCAAGAAAGGTCTGTTTTACTGTTGTTTAACACTCCAAAATAAAACTTACATGCTGTAACTATATTAGCTAGGTCAAATGTATTACTAATATAATCTGAAATCATTTGAGTTTTTAAATGAAAGTGCTATTTCAGATATTTTAATTAGAACATCTCTACTGTTACTTTACTTGTTTCTCTTTTAGTACACCTGAGCAAGGAAAGGCATTTGAAGAGAGAGACTTTCTTGAACCTTATAAACAAAAACTTTTGATTTATCTCAAGAGTGTCAGTTTATTTATGAGCTAGTGCAAGTCCAAGTAGAAAAAGGTCGCATATTTTGTTTTTTTATTTTTGGAAAATATGATGTTTGTTTTTCCAGATCTTTGTCCTTTGTCAAAATGTTTCTTTTCAAATATGAGGCGAGAAATATATTGGTACTTGAGTATGTGGGGCTAAAAAGCAGTTCCTTCTAGGTAACAGCAAAAAAATGTGTTAGCTTCAGTTTCCATCCACGACAGCTGTTTGTCACACAGTTCTGTTTTTAAAAAGAGAGACGCATCTTCTATAAGATAACACTGCCTACCTCGGCAGTAGATTTGTATCGGTAGTGTGATCAGATGTGTTTCTAATTATGCCAAGTTGAAGATCTAGTAGGAAATTGAAGTAATTAATCCTTTTCTATGTTTAAGCAATAACATCTATATTCTTGAAAACTCATTTTTGAAAATACAAAATACAAAAATAATTCCCTGCATTACACATTCTTGGATATCAAAACTGAACATTAGCCCTCTTTCTACAGGTCTGCGTGTGCTCTGACCTGACATTATTGGAGTAATGTGCTCTGTATATAATATTTAAATAGACCAGTGTAATGTGGCCTACAATTTTTAGATTAAAAAACAAACGTTTATTGTTAGACCTTACCTCTGATTATAAAAATATTACATGTTTATTATAGAAACTTGGGGGAAGTAAAGAAAAATATAAAGGAGTAAGGGAAGAAATTACTGTAATTCAAGGACCTTGAGACAACCACTGTTGACATTAAGCATTTTTTTAGGCAATTAAAATTTCTCTTTGACCTTCATGTTAAAGACAGCTTAGTCTTTCATCTTACTCAGTGTGTGTGTGTGGGGGGGAATTTGATCTCTATCTATCTGTCTATCTATCTATCTAATCTAATCTAATCTAATCTAATCTAATCTAATCTATCTGGATATCTAGATACCTATATCTGCCCTGGTCCCTGACACAGAGTAGCTAAGACACTGTAAATTCCTAAGTGATAAGAGCACTAGGAGCACTTGTTTCAATAAGTGAGCTCTAAGTGGGCTGCTATGTGGCTCTTAGATGGGGACTGATCACCAGAACAAGCAAGCCATAGTTAGAAACTTGAAATTTTCAGTCTCTCCTCCTGTACCACTTCTCTAGAGAGTGGGGAGTGGCTGGAAATTAAGTTAATGATCAGTCATACCTCCATGGTGAAGCCTCCATAAAACTCCCAAAGATATGGGGTTTAGGGAGCTTCTGCGTTGCTAGACATATGGAGGTCTGGGAGAGTGGCAGCTTGGAGAGTGCATGGAAGCCCCTCGGTCCTTCCCACACACCTTGCCTTGCACACCATCTGGATGTTAATCTATACCTTTATCATATTCTTTTATAATAAACTGGTAGACAGTAAGTAAACTGTTTTTCTGAGTTCTGTGAGCCATTCTAGAAAATTAATTGAACCTAAGGTGGGGATCATGGGAACCTCCGATTTATAGCTGATCAGCTTCTACAAGGGTGACATCCTGGACTTGTGATTGGCATTTAAAGTGGGTGGGGGTAGTCTTGTGGACTGAGCCCTTAACCTGTGGGGTCTGACACTGTCTCTAGATAGTGTCGGAATTGAGTTAAATGGGTATCACATACTTGCTTGGTGTGGGAAAAGCCCCCACATCTGAACCCCACATCTGGGTTCAGAAATGTGAATGTGACAGCAGTGTGAGAGTAAAGGAGAAACAGGAGAGAAAGTGAGTTTTTCCTACTCATTGGCTTCACAGAGTCATCAGAGGCCTAGGTTATCTTTCTCCTGACATTCAACATAGGACTTTCATTCTGATGTTTATGTCTTGGCCCAAAATGTTTGCTAGAGCTCCAACCTTTATGTTGGCATTCCAGCTTTTATTTTGAGCAGCCAGTACAAGGATGGGTAGGAGAAGGGCACTCTCCTTCCTTTTACGATGATTTTCATAACTCTTCCATTGACCTCTTATTGTTCAGAACTTAGTCCCTTAGTCTCACACTGCTGAGGAAGGCTGGGAAATGGAATCTTCTTGCTGAGTATA